TTAGGGTAGGCAGATGACAAATGCTGCTTTCCTTCTCAATAGTTTAAAACTGACTACATCAAAAATGTACAAAAAAATTTAAGAGACTTAACTATAGTTTTGGGAGGAGTAATAGTAACATGGATTTTTAGGGCTGGAACAAATTTTAGGAAAAAAAAATTGCTTATGTATTAGCAAATTATTTGTATATTTAACCTGATTTAACCAGTGAGGTTATTTACTTTTTGAAATGGCTAATCCTCTCCGTCAGTTTTTTTCTTTGGACACAGATATTGCTTAAACAGAACAAAGTTCAAAGACGCGTGATTTAACCAAATCAAACTCCTGTGCCAGCGTCAACAAACCAAGATCATTAAGGAATTGCATAAAAAAGAGAAAGAAACTAATGCAATTTTGAGACCAGGTGTGAGCATTTGCCCATTTGAAGAGTCACCCTGATTTTCTGTCTGACCTCAGGAGATTCAGTTTCTCTCTCAGGTCTATTTTCTCTTTACAAGATTGAGAAACTTGAGCCTGGCCCATGTGATTCAGTGGGCGTGCAGGAGGCAGCGGATCAATGTTTCTATTGCTCTCCCTCTCCCTTCCTCTCTCTCTAAAGTCAATAAAAACATTTTAAAAAAAGATTGAGAAGCTTGAGCTTGTCATACTTTTAACTGTTCTTGGGATATATGATTTGGGACTTTTATAAAACAGTTGGACCAAAAGTGTCATCTTCATCCTAGAGAAGTCTTAACACTTGTAACTTGTACAAAGAGTTGTGGAATTCCACACACAGCAAACATGTTTTAGTAAGGTTCTCAGGAAAATGATTATATAGAATTAGGATAAAATTTAATACTTTTGAATTCTTACTGTTTGTTTTTCAGACCTGAGATAGCAGTTTAGGTCTTGCTCATTTTGTATATAATTTCACCTTTTTTAGCAGCATTTGGTATTAAATAAGTTGTACTTCATCCTTCAGAGATTGTGAAACCTTTGGTATGACATTTTAGTCAATAGTATAAACCTGTAGTTTAAAAAAGGGGTTTATCATTAGCTCAGAGCAGGAAAAACCTACCTAGAATGGAGGCAGCTAAATTGATATTGATTAATCACTCCAGTTTCTATCTCTCTTTGGCCTCAAAAGTAAAAAAAAAAAGTCTACTTGCCAAAGAAAAAAGTCTACTCTCCCAGAAGGGAAGTTTTTTTTTAAGTTATGTCCTGGTCTTTTGGGTTCCGTAGGGTGTGTGTGTGGCGGGGGAGGTTGGTGAAGACTTTGGTTTCAGGTGCAACTGGATGTCAAAGTTCGCTTCTCTACACAAGCTTCAGCTGCATGACTTGCATTTTTGGTCTGTTGTCTCTGAGGACTTGTATTATTTGCATCTTCTTCCTTCCCTTTAGTTTATTGATTTTAGAGCGGGGCAAGGGGGGGGGGAGAAAGAGAGAAAAAACCACACTGACTTGTTGTTCCACTTACTTATGCATTCATTTATGATCTCGTATGTGCTCTAGGGCTTGAACCCACAAACCTGGCATATCGGATGGACACTCTAACCAACTGAGCTACACGGCCAGGGCCTCCTTCCCCTGCTTTGACAGCAATTGTGGGCAATGAGTTTGGCCTAAAAAGCTTTAAGCAAATATCAATACTCTCATGAATAGATGTCAAGGGCAAATAAGATATCATAGTTGGAGCCAAATTACAAATATTGATTTAATTTAAGAGGTAGGATAGAATAGAGAAATCAGAAAGGGGGGAGGGAGTAGATTGCCAAAGCATTTCTTGCTTCCATTCTCTGTTTGACACCTCTTTTCTCTGATTTCACACCTTTCTGGGATATTTTTTTAAAATATGTTTTTATTGATTTCGGGGGGGGGGGGGAGAAACATCAATGATGAGAGAGAATGATTGATTGGCTGACCCCTGTACTCTCCCGACCAGGGACCAAGCCCACAACCCAGGCCTGTACCCTTGACAGGAATTGAACCCCGGACCCTTCAGTCCCCAGCCATCACTCTATCCACTGAGCCAAACCAGTCAGAGCCCTTTCTTGGATCTTCATCATATCCTGCCTTGATTTGTGTATTTGCTTCACCATCCCACTGTAAACTGCTTAATATGAAGAGCTACATATTCATCTGTAATACCCTGCCTATATTCCAGCCCTTCTCCACCAGCACAGAATTTTACTTCATGCCACACTGTTGTTCAAAGCCAGCAGTGACTCCCTATTGGTCACAAATTAAAGTCCAAATATCAAATACCTTAGATTATATCTTTTTTTTTTTTAATATATTTCACTGATCCTTCACAGAGAAGAAGGGAGAGAGACAGAGAGCCAGAAACATCGATGAGAGAGAAACATCCACCAGCCGCCTCCTGCACATCCCCCACTGGGGATGTGCCCGCAACCCAGGCACACGCCCCCGACTGGAATCGAACCCGGGACCCTCCAGTCCACAGGCCGACGCTCTATCCACTGAGCCAAACTGGCTTCGGCCCTTAGATTATATCTTGAAGCACTCCAATTTTAATTTCCATCACATCCCAACAATTCCTTTCTCACCTTCCCCTGGTTTCTGCAGGGTTTCCTCTCTGGGCCTCTGGTTATTTTACAAGCTCAAGAGACCTAAAATAACTGTATAATCACAATGCTCTTCCCCCAACCCCCACTTCCTGCACACCTCTCTCCTTATCTCATTCAAATATTACTCATTCCTCGGTTTAGGGATCCAACATGAGGGTCCTACCAGTTGCTGAGCATGTCTATTCTTTTTTTAAATTTATCTTTCTATTCTTTTATTCTTTTTTGAGCATGTCTATTCTAATTATGCACTCCAGAACTATTCTAATTATGCATTCCTGTGGGATATAACCACAGGATAGATTCAGGGACTCACTGGGCCCACTGTTAGATGGGACCTGAGGGAAAACTCTATTGTTTACTATAAGCTCCTATTTTCACGGATAGAACAGAGTGTCATTTTGGGTCTCTAGGAGTTTGTGTCAATTTAGGAACTGTGTCCAGTATCCCCTGAAAAGGCTGATCATTTCCCTTTATTCAAAGTACAGTCATGCTGGTAAATGGTCATTCGTCCTGTGGACTAAAAAGAAACCACATACTAAACCAGACAAGTTCAGGGGAGGCTTTCATGGCAAGCCTTACAAACGCAAGAGACCTAAAATAACTGTATAGGATTATTGGCAGCGAAACCGGCTCCAGATGTTAGACTAGTGGAGTCAGACTGGACCTTGGCTGGGCAAACTCACTGCTTGAGTTCTGGTTAAGAAAGAATTCAGAGGCAAGACTCAAACTATAAGAGAGTTTATTTAGGAAGGCATAGAGGTAGAAGAAGTGAGCCATAGAAGAAATAGGCTCAGAAAACAAGTAAGGCAAAAGAAAGTGTTATAATGTACCCCGTGAATCACACAAGGACGCCTCAAGAAGTCGAATTAAAGAGTCACATTTATTGCAAATCCGGGACTGAGGGGGCATTTCGCTCTCCCAGATCTCATAGTGCCCGTCCCAGCCCCAACACCAGATTTATATAGGCAAAGATCACAAAGGTATTGATTACATCCCAAGGTTTGGAATGAGAAACCCGGTTTGCAAAAAAGCAGTTTACAGAAGCAGAAGCAGTTTGGTTTCTGTACTTATTTTGAGTACTAAGCTGGGCTGCCTTAGCTCACGGGGAAGTCAGAAAAAAGGGGGTCTGGGAGGAGCTGCTGCTGCCCATGGCTTCCCTGGTTGCAAGTCTCATGGGGTTCCTTAGAGGTTAGGGCCATGGTCGGCAAACTGCGGCTCGCAAGCCATATGTGGTTCTTTGGCCCCTTGAGTGTGGTTCTTCCTAAGCCTTAGGAGTACCCTAATTAAGTTAATAACAATGTACCTACCTATATAGTTTACGTTTAAAAAATTTGGCTCTCAAAAGAAATTTCAATCATTGTACTGTTGATATTTGGCTCTGTTGACTAATGAGTTTGCCGACCACTGGGTTAGGGGATAGGTGTGGGGGAGGGTAGGGGGGAACGAAGGGTGAGGGGAATGGCATAGGCACACTGGGACCTTCATTTTCAGGGGTTTTAAAGGCTGGGCGTACAGGAGTGGATCAATATGATATTCATCAGCTTTACCAAAATGAGATTTATTCTCTTAATTTGTTTGTCTTTGGGGGGGGGGGTTGGCAAATGGCACTTAATTGGATTTCTGTTGTCTGTCGCCCTGAGTTGGGTGATTTTACCCTCTGTTTGGGGAGGAGAACTGCAAACCATTTACTCTTACATGTCCTCAGTTTAGGGGAGATAACATTGACTAGGTGGCTGCAAACTGCTGTTTAAGCATCCGTGTTCGTTTCCCTATTCCACCTGTCCTGCAGTTTTCCTAGCTTCTTACTACTCTGTAACACTTGAAACTTAGGAGAAAGAGAGAAAAGGAAAACATGCCTGGGGGAAAGGGATAGGGAAAGGCGCCTGTGTGCTCCATAGAGAGAGCTGCCCAGAAAGCAAGTCTGAATAGTTTAGCTTACTGTAAACTCTTAGAGGAGGAAATAAAACTGCCATTGACACGTGCTGTTCAATGTGCCCTTAGTGAACTTTAGCGTGACTATGCTATGAATCAGCGAGTTTCAAAATTAAAATTACTTCTAAATCCTCAGGTCAAAAAGCAAGGCCTTCGCCGCGGTGATTACACTTTCAACACACCTCTTTTTTAAATTAACCACCTCTTTTTAAAAATGTTCTTACAATTTACACCTGCAATACGATGAAATACTGCAATGAACATTATGCCAGCTACCAGACATATAGTCTCAATAGAGGATGATGACGTCTGTAGTCTCAGGTAACCTTCACACACAAACCGGGGACAGGAACTGTCAGTCCCATTTCCCGAAAGCGGCCAGTGAAACCCTGATTGCGCTAAGATCCCGGCCCTGCCGGCGAGGTGACGTTTACGACGGCGGGGATTTCCGTACCGGTGACACACGCCACTTCCGGCCGGTGGTGAGAGTCAGTGACGTGGCAGGCCAGCCCGAACACGGTCCTTAGGGCCGGGACACCCGGGGCTGTCAGCTGGCCTCTGGGCAGCCCCGCCGGGAGAGCACCGACTGTGGCGGCAGTCGCCAGCCCGGAGCCGGAAGTGCCACGTGTCCCCATTGCGCCTGCGCGGCCGGCGGCTGACACTTCCGGCAAGGGCCTCTCTTCTCTCCGGGCTTGTCTGCCTCCTTCCAGCACCCCGTTCCCGGCCCCACCGACGTGACTACCTACCCTCCGCTCCCAGGCCAAGTCGTGGCCGCCGGTGGGCTGGGGAGAATGTGGCGCCGGGCCTAGGGCTTGGTGCGCCTCCCTCTCTCCTCCCCGCCCTCTGTCCACAGTCGTTCTTTCCCTTCGCTTCCAGGAGTCGCCTTTCATCTCTTCGCTCGGCGCTGTCGCATATCGCGACCAGCCCCTTCCAACCCGGATAACCACCGTCGTCATGTCCCAGCCGGGGATACCGGCCTCCGGCGGCTCCCTAACCGGCCCCCAGGCCCAGAATGGGGCCGCCTCGGCCTCGGGGTCTTCCTATACCAACGGTAGGTGCCACTCGGGCGCAGGGAGGGCGCAGCCTGGGCCCGGGCTCCCGCTGAACTTTGGTTGCTGCCGCCGCCTGAGGCGAGAAGAGGGGAGGTGACATCCCGCCCTGGTCTGAAGCCGATGGCGGTGGGCGGCTGGCCCGCCACGGAGACAGCGGCGAATATGCACCCGTTACTCCTGGCTCGTCGTAGTGTTTTATTTGTTTATTCATTTGTCCAGCAAACAGTTCATGAGCACGTGTAAACCTGGGTGAAAACTAGATTCTGTCCAGACCTCAAAACTCGCATATAAAGCTCATAGTTGTTTATGTGCCACCGCACCCGTCTTGTAGAGAGCAGATTCGGTCCTGCAGGGCTTGCGGTGGGATGGGGGCCATACTCAGTCGGAATTTGTGGAGATTAATGAATGATCGTACTTCCCGGAGATCCCTGTAGAGCCGGTTCATCTTTCCCAGAACCTTCCTCGAATTGTGCTTAGGCCACCTGTTCGGTTTTGAGGCTTTGGAAGAACCCTGTTTGATTTCCAGAGGTCTTTACATCCCACGGAAAGTGGTCGGGCACAGCTCTGAACCTCTGATGAGAGTGTGCATGTGGCACTATAATTTGTCATTTGGTGTGAGAGTATCTTACGATTTTTTTTTAACCACTTATAGGATTTTAAAAATTGTACTGCGTTGTGATTTTATTATAATTGTTATAATAAAGATAGATTGCCAAGTTACCAGTTTACCTACAAATCTTTGGTTCATGGAAACAAAACCAGAATAATACTAAAATACTGAGATTTCCGTTGGAATCTAAAATTTCTGTGAAGTTCGAGAATATAGGCAATGACTAAAATAGCTAATTCACATTATTTTTAGAGAAGACTACTGTCTTTTTTGTTTTTTACAAAGAAAGCTCTAAAAGACTTTTAAAAATGTCTGTGAGTGGGCAGAAGCAAGAGTAAGTGGGGGTAAGCACTGCAATGGTGTTCAATTGAATCAATTGTTCTTTCTCAAATTTATGGTAACATTGTGTAAATTACATTTATTTTAGACTATTTACTGACGTTTACGCTGTGGATGAAATCATTTAAAGAAATTCACTTTAAGCTATAAACACTTAAACAAGATGTCATATGGCTATGGCTTTATCTTATAATCTATAAATTTCAATTTTACATGCGCTTTAAATTTTTTTAATTTTTTGATTTTAGAGAGAGGAAGGGAGAGAGAAACATTGATTTATTTTCCCCCTATTCATGCATTTATTAGTTGCTTCGTGTATGTGCCCTGAGGATTGAACCCACGACCTTGGCATATGGGGACCACTCTCTAGCCAACTGAGCTACCCAGCCAGGGCTGAATTGACCATTTAAAACTCATATAAAATTGCCCTGCCCTGGTAGCTCAGTTGGTTAGAGTGTGGTTCTGATATTCCAGGGTTTGGGGTTCAATCCTCGCTCAGGGCACATACAAGAATCAATAATGAATGCATGAATAAGTGGAACAACAAATCGATGTTCCTCTATCTCAGTGGCAGCAAACTGCGGCTCGCGAGTCACATGCGGCTCTTTGGCCCCTTGAGTGTGGCTCTTTCACAAAATACCAACTTCTGTGCGTGGGCCACAAAGTTTCAATCGCACTGTACATGCGCACCTGCACGTGGTATTTTGTGGAAGAGCCACACTCAAGGGACCAAAGAGCCACATGTGGTTCGCAAGCTGCAGTTTGCTGACCACTGCTCTATCTCTCCCTTCTCTTTTTTCCCCTAATATATTTTTATTGATTTCAGAGAGGAAGAGAGAGGGATAGAGAGATAGAAACATCAGTGATGAGAGAGAATCATTGATCGGCTGCCTCCTGCATGCCCCCTACTGGGGATCAAGCCTGCAACCCAGGCATGTGCCCTTGGCCAGAATTGAACCTGTGACCCTTCAGTCCACAGGCAGACGCTCCATCCACTCAGCCAAACCGGCTAGGGCTCTCCCTTCTCTTTTTAAAAATCAATAAATAAAATTTTTTTAAATAAAATAAATATCCTCCTGTATAATAAAAGCCTAATATGCTAAGTGTCAGGTCATCCTGTCCATTCAACCAATCAAAGTGTAATATGTTAATGATATGCCAAAGCCACTCAACCACTTGCTATTACCTGCACTGACCACTAGGGGGCAGACAGTTGACCTTTTGACCAGTCGCTATGATGTGCACTGACCACCAGGGAACAGACACACCAACTGATAGGTTAGCTTGCTGCTAGGGTCCGGCCGATCAAGACTGAGGGAGATGGGCCGGACATGCCCTGGAGTCCTCCCGCCGTCCCGCCCAGGCTGGCCAACCTCCCGCGTCCCTCCCCAGCCCCGATCATGCACTGGTGGGGTCCCTTGGCCTGGCCTATGCTCTCTTGCAATCAGGATTGAGGGCCTCCCCCCCCCCCCACCCAGTGCTCAAATTTTGTGCACCAGGCCTCTAGTATTAAATAAATACATAAATGGCAAATCCTGCCAATGTGCTTGTAAGCTTATATGACAGTATAGTTTTGTTAATTTTGAAATGTCAAAGGAATTTAGCCACTGTGATATGCTGTTTTGGAGATGTTGTCATTACGTTGATTTGATCCAGTCCAACAGACATTTGTTGCATACCTTCTAAGAAGTTCTGTCCTTGGGAAATGGAACCCAAGGTACAGTCTCCTCCTTGTACACAGGTTCCCTAGAGCCAAGTGGGGATTCACATATGGAATGAAATCATAGAACTGCATAAATACATACCTTTTAAAATATATAATTGACAGTCTTTTTATAAGCCCCATTTCTAAAGTTCTTTTTGTAGAGGTAGTCCCAGTAAAATGGCTAATGTCCTATATTGGATTCATTTTTTTGTGCATCCCACTAATAATAAAGAGAGTATGGGTATGGTGGAGAATTGGAGAGGAGGTTATTTCTCTAGAAGGTGAACACATAGTTCAGGGCTGGAATGTAATTTTATTTTGGTTAACTCTTACAAGGCAGTTATTGCTGCTTAAATATTCATAGAGCCCTGGTCAGGTGGCTCAATTGGTTGGAACATTGTCTCCATACACCAAAAGGTTGTGGGTTTGATTCCCTGTTAGGCCACACACTTACCTAGGTTGCAGGTTCCACCCCTGGTCGGGGTGAGTATGGAAGGCAACTGATTAGTTTCTCTTTCATGTCCATGTTTCTTTCTCTCTCTCTCTCTCTCTCTCTCTCCCCCCCCTCCCGCCCCACCCCCCCTCTCTCTAAAAATCGGAACAACAAAAATGCTATTGAATGCTCTTAAGCTTTAGATTTAATGTAGCTTGCTTATATTACATATCATAGTTCAGTTGGATCTTCAGATATTTTTAAACTATAATAAAAAAAAACCCGAAATAAAGTAGTCCCCCTTATCCATGGGAGATACGTTCCAGTGGATGCCTGAAGCTGGATAGTACTGAAACCTGTATAGCCCATGTTTTTTCTTATATATACATGTACCTATGATAAAGTTTAATTTATAAATTAGGCACAATAAGAGGTTAACTAGTAATAAAGTAGAACAATTAAACAACATACTGTAATAAGTTACATAAATATGGTCTCTCTCAAACCCTTTCTATGATGATGCAAGATGATACAATGTTTACATAAACTAAAATGAGTTACTCAGAATAGTACACAATATAAAACTTATGAATTGTTTATTTCTGGAATTTTCCATTTAATATTTTCGGATCGCGGTTGACCGAAGGTACCTGAAACTACAGAAATCGAAACTGAATAAGGGGGACCAGTATAATCACCTTTTTCATTTTTCTATAATTTCTTTCGTATTGTATGGTATCATTATATTATAGAATTCCTCACAAATGGAGACCTTTCTGTGGTCAGTTGTTGCATTACAATTTAAAATTGTTGAGATATGTTTTTCTAAGTTTCAGTGTAGATTTGTGTATATGTATTTCCTTTGCAAAAATTGATAGTGAAACTGTAAGACTACTTAAACTGGCAGATCTTTATCTGATTAGCATGTAATAAGGCTAAAGGCAGATAATGATTCCCACTGTTAATTAACTGCTTTATTTTGACTTTGAATCCCTTTGCAAAAGCAGTTAGAAATTGCAGCTTTATTAAATTTATTTTGGTAATATTTATGTAATATTCACTTTTCCCCATATAGATTAAGGGTGAGAAGAATATTCTCACACCTCTCTCCCACCCAGCTTTCCATTTTATTGTAATTTTATTCAATAATACTGATTTGCCTCTAGACCAGGGGTGGGCAAACTTTTGGACTCGAGGGCCACAATGGGTTCTTAAACTGGACCAGAGGGCCGGAACAAAAGCATGGATGGAGTGTTTGTGTGAACTAATATAAATTCAAAGTAAACATCATTACATAAAAGGGTACGGCCTTTTTTTTTTTTTTTAGTTTTATTCATTTCAAACGGGCCGGATCCGGCCCGCGGGCCATAGTTTGCCCACGGCTGCTCTAGACTGTAAAACCTATAAGGGCAAGCATATCTGTTTTACATATATCCTCTCTCCAGCTCCCCACATGGTGTCTAGCACATTTTAAGAGTTACTAGTTTTATTGTTTGAAAGTTTTAGATTTAGGTATTTTGTAATTTAGGTCACTAAACATATACTGACTTATGCATTGTAAGATTAGAGCTCACTTCCAACTTTTTCTGGTAAAATTTTCTGTGGATTTTTGCACAATATTATCAGCTAAAACTCAATAGAATATGTGTGTGGAGGGTTGGTTACCAGTTTAAATTCTAGATTTGTACTCATCTCTATTTTAGGCATGACAAAAATATAGATCTCTTTTAGTTTCACTATGAAGTAAACCATGGTTATGATTGTATATTTAATATAAGAAGGCTCTAGTCATGATCAAAGCATGCTGTGAATAAAATTGGCATGTGGTCACCCTGGCCAGTGTGGCTTAGTTGGTTGAGCGTTGTCCTGTTCATCAAAAGGTTGATGGTTCCATTCTCCATCAGGGTGCATG